GCCGTTCCCTGATATAGAGAAATCCTTATCACGGTTGCTTAAACTCTCGAATTAGTCCATGACCATCCTTACCTGGCCCAAGCAAATGCTTGCTTTAACCATGGCACATATGCACTGTCATGTCATTCAGGATCCATCTAGGATGCAACTTCCATGGATCCAAACTAAACGCGCCCCAATTGGTGGATCCAACCTAAAAGACACAGATTCACACATGACGGGCCTCTAAACATTGAACCGATTCAATTTGTAGCCCCCCCAAAAAAAAAAAACAAAAACTTCTCCCCCCCCCAAAAAAAAACAAAACAACCACAAAAAAACAGTCCGCTCGGTCCGTCAGCTGCTCCGCTAAGCTTTCGATCTCCAGCTTGGGCTCCCCCAAGCTCCAGAACTCGTAGGAGCCGCCCGGGCCGTACTCCCTCGAAATGGGACGCATCCAGGATCAACAATAATGCAGAGATTAAACAAAAAAAACAATGCAGCGTGTGTCGAGTCAAGGCACCTGACATGTACCTCACCCACCAAGATTCGAGAACAAGAAGCGCGCTCACCAGCAAGGGGGCGCGCTACTGTAGTGTGTCACCAAAAACCCAAGAGTATCTTGCAGCAAGCCACGTTTTAAAACAAGCACCTAAGCAAAAGCTAACTGCCTGGACAGAGCTCAACGCAGGTGCGGGTGAGCACGGTGGACCAGAAGGATTGAGCCCCCCCGCCCCCGGAAGCCATGAAAAGGATATGGAATAATAAATTACATCCAACTCGGTCAGGACGAAGTAGCACCTGTTCTGAGCCAAACAAAGGGACTCAACGATCTTTCAGCTGCTCACCTCATGTCAAATGAGTTCAGTACAGGAACAAACCCATCTTCAACGCTGAGCAGTTCCTGATGGACGCGAGCCTTCCCGTTGTAGAGCAATCCAGTTGTTCGCACCGTCGCTTTTCACAAATGTGCATTTGGGATCGACCCCATGTACACCTCCGTAAGGCCTTGAAGGGAAGGTGACCTGCATGACACAAGCACCATTAGCGGCCCCATGGTAAGCTTGACCCTTCAACAACTCCACTGTGACTCGCAATGCTGACCAACCTCCATGGAGCCCTTCTGCTCAATGCAATGCCATCTAGACCCTCCCTGCAGAAAATGACTGACAACAAACTACAGACGTGCTACAGCCCATCCCACTGAAAGGAAACAAGCTACCCGCTCTGAAATGCCTTACCTTTGGAGGGCAATGCCAAAGAGTCGCTTCACGATGTACCAACCTCCGGCTGCCAAATTCAAAGGAGTTCAGGGTAGCCTTTTCTCCCCACCTTTTTTTTACAAAAAAAAAAACACCAAACAGCAATGCCATCATTCTTGCCCCCCCCCCCCTAATTTTGACATAGCCCATACCCCGCCCTCCGGTGAGATCCTGCTCCAGAACAGCTCCTCCTCTGAGAGCTCGGAGCCCAGCTCGTACCGGTCCAAGAGCTTGCTGAAAAGCCCCGCCCTGTTCCTTGGAAGAGGGCCGAATGGGCAGGAAAGCCTGTGGCCATTGGCTTGGATGAATCGTTGATGTACCTTGAACCAGCAACTCACTGGACCTGTATCTTCGTTTGCGCGCTCTTTTTTCTGCTCAAAGGCTTGTTTGCGTGCTTTGTGGTGTGTTTGCGCGTTTTTTTTGGAATTTGCGCGTTGTTCGAGCCTTTGCGCACGTAGTCGAATTCGGCACTGCTTGTGGAAACAATCGGTACTGCGCTACTACGTCCCGTGCCGGCGCAGCTGTTCGTTGAAGTATCTTATGGTTACATCTTAACTGTAGTTCTTCTTTTGTCTCAACCCAGGCATTGTTTAGGCAGGCAGTTTGTTGCACGTATGGCACCCGGCGCAAGTACCACTCATCACCGGGACTTGACACTTTGTGGCCGTTGATTTTGCAGCTTGCTTGGCTGGCTTCAACCTCCATGAATAGCTCCAACCCCGCAAGCATTTCCTGGGTTTGCAGGGATCCGCTGTGTGCTCCAGGACTGTGCCTGCGCCGCACGTTGTGTTGAGACAAGTCGCTGTCAGGTGAAACTTAGTCGTTTTCGGGCGCCCTGCCAACCCGCAATTTGCACGCAAATTTCCGGTACTATCGCGCAAGAAAAAAGCAATTGCGCGCAAATACGAAAGTGTGCACATGCATGTGCGCGTTTCAGACCATTTTAGGCAGAAGATGTTTCAAAGTGCCCGAATAGCCAACCAAAAGCTATATTTTGAGCCAGGTGTGGTCAGTTGAAGCTGCGCCGATCCCTTTCAACCTGGAAGCGGTGTTCGGTTTTCTTGGAATCTCAAAGTTAAGCTTGTTTCTCTGTCCATCAAGCTGGCTTGTCAAGATGCAAGGCTAAGCCAGACAACGCCCAACAGGCAGCCAAAACGCATGCAGGTTCCTTGGATCGTTCAGGCCCGTTCTGGTCGACAAGGCGCGCATTTATCCTTGTCCTTGTTCTTTTTGAACAGCTTGACAGGTTGATGTCAAGGCTATATACGCCCAGAACCTTTACCAAAACCAGCCAAAAACGCCCCGCGCAGTTCTTGGAACTTTGCGCGTTTTTACTTGAAATGCACACTTTTCCATTGTGCGCATCTTTTTGCTCAAATGAAGATACAGGGATCAATTGCTACTGGAGCGTGTCGGTGTCGCCTCATGGCTTGCGGCTTCGGAGTTCGTTGGCTTGGTCACTTGCTACCTCATCTGAACTACTTCTTCATTGATCGCTGTCTTTCTGCAGTGGCCAATGACTATGTATTTGGGAGTGGTTGGTGGCACTGGTACGAACTTTGCTTAGACATGTTGCCCTTCTGGCTTAGTTTTGCCGAGTTGCCTGCCGGATTAAGTACCAGTCTCCTCTTTGCTGATTTATTGGATTGTGCGCATGACTTCCACTTGTGCGTGGGCGACAAGCTGTTCAACGTCAACAGTGCAAAGTTGTTCTTCCCACGGGGTGCGAGCACTTAAGAACGGGGCAAGCTTGCAACACATATTTTGAACCAACACATTGTAAATCAGCTGCCAGCTCTGAAAAACTTGGACAGTGGGCCTCATGTTTTCTGAATTTTGATCGGAATGTCATAATGAACGGTATCCAAAGGGTACCTACTGAAGGGCATCTGGTCTGCGGCTATGTTGCAATTGACCTGTCCCGAGGACTGGTGCCCAAACTCCCAAGGCATGGCGACATTGCCCGACGTCAAGCGCAACATCGAATGTCCCAGCGGCGCATGCCGCAGTGCTTCTCGACGACCCGGGAAGTCCCAGCCCGGACCGGGAAGCGCAAAAGGCCTGCCCCGATTTCCCGCAAGCGGCGGCGAATTGAGAAACCGGGCTGCCTCATGTGCAGGAACGGCACGGACATCAACAACTTGCCCCGTCCAATGCAAGCGGTCGACCTATTGAAACTTTCAGCAACCAGATCCGAATGGAGCTCCAACCCGTCAGAATACTTGTATGACGACCCGGAGCAAGACTGAGCCCCTGCCTGCTCCAAACTGAGCCTGGCGGCTCAGAAAGGCTCTGAGGACTGGAAACTAAACAGTGCCAACCAACGTTTCGTGGGAGGCCGTTGCAACAGTACCAGCATCCTCCAGTCTGGGAAGAGGAAGGTGAGCAAGCCCTGGTTTTTGTGGCCAGGACAAGTCGGGAACGAGAGATGACAGGACGATGAATGTAAGCATCCCTGCAACGGGTCCTCAGCCCTACACCCATGCCGTGCGATATCAAACATCTTGTCAGATTGTCACTGTCACTGATCCAAGGGCCTTGGCCGATTCCATTGTTCCCAAGCGGGGGGCACATCCACTATCGGGCTTAAAACCCTGAACGCGTCTCTAAGATATTCTTAGAACTTGTATTACCAAGACACACACACACACACATATATATATATATATAAATACATTGCCCTGCGGAGCCAAACATCTTCGAGCAACTTTGGGCCCCGGCAGTTCAATGTTTTTTTGGCAGCCATGCATGTGACTGAGGACATGTGCCAGTCTTTCGCTGGAAAGATGGGGCTGGCGAATATTACCTCCTGGCATTCACCTCTTCTCAAGTGGGTCATAAAGCCAAAATTCAAGTAGCCCGTTCAAAATCAGGCAAGCACAGGGTATCCCCAAGAGGAAAGCCATCTTCTGGGTACCCTCCCACAGGTGCTATGTTTGTTGGAGGAGGGTAAGCCTGATCATGATTCCCACCCTGCATCGATCTATTCCCTGCCTGCCACAGCCACAGTGAGCGCCTGAGTTGGAAACAAAGGCCCATGGCTTGAAATGACAATCCACAACCTGTGGATGATTGCCAGTAACAAATGCAATCGCAAGGGGTCTTTCGTGCGTTTCATGCTCCAATGTTTGGTCTCCCCCTCTCTGGCATATAATACTTTTTCCGAGGCCGTTTGCAGCCAGCCATGGTGCCCTGCTGGCCACCCCCAGCGCAATGTCACAAACGGGACTTGCAAAAAAGCATTGAGAAGTGCCGCGAAGCGATTTCCATGCAAAGCCAGGTCTCGAATGGTGTCGGACAGATCAGTTGGGCTTCCTAAATGGCGCAAGCGGCACATCAGCGGGCTGAGGCTGGCACTGCGCGGAAACGCCGCGGGCGCTGCATTCAGAATGCGGTAAGGCGAGTTTGGGGTTGGACTACTCTTGTGAGGCTTTCAGAATTGAAACAGTGCAAACATGTGCAACTCCTTTTTACAAAATGCCCAGCTGCAAGACTACTTGAAGCTGCGCCACCCCATGCAGGCTTGAGCATCATGCAGCACGCAGCTTAGCCAGCAAGGCATGTGGCACGGTTCGATCGCAATCCCCGCGCCCGACCGGCCAATCATTAGGGGCCCGCTGGAGCATTCCTTTTGCCCACAAGGGCAACCATGGGAAATATATGAACAAAGGGCTTTCTTCTGGATGGGGATATTCCATCTCTGGGGCTTGACAGGTGGGGGTCGTGGAGTACCGGCGTCAAAACTCTGAGGCTCGTGGCCCGTGCACAATGTGCAGGTGACCTTAGCCGGACGTGTCAAACCAAGCAGACTGCATCAAAAGCGCCGAGACCTGTTCACCCCTAGGACCTAGGATCAACCTGTGTTACCCCAACACGGCTCAAACCAATGTAATTGCCCTGCGGGTCAATGCCCCGCCGCTTTGGCCCTGAAAAGGCCAAGTGACCTCGGGCTTCCCAAATCAAGACGACTGACGCACAAGGCTTCAACTCACTTTGGCTTCCGGCCCTTCCGGCTTACGGCTTAGGGCACTCGCCTCCACTGACAGCGGCATGGAGCGCAGTTCTGCCTGCGTGCGCTCGGTGGATCTCTGGGCCCTGCGGTCTGTCAGCTGGGATGCGCGTCTAGCCGTGGCCTTGCCAATGTCGTTAAGGGAACGAAATTCCTGCCGCCTTCAGGACCAATGCAAAATCGTCGGGGGATTTGCTGACAGGACTCAGCGCTCAGAAACTGGAGAATGTAAAGCATAGAAACTGGATAAAGGGTGTAAGAGCCTTTTTGGGATACTTTCACCTTCTGAGCAGCTGCTTTCAGCATGAGGCCAATTGGCTCATCAATTAGAAATGGTTGATGGCATACTTGGTGAAATTGCTGCACCCTGTAGTCAATACACAAGGTATGCGTCATGCCCGAATAATCCGCAGCATCGCAAATGCCCAGTGCCAAAGCGACCAAACATCTACCGCAGCGAAAAGCTGCCCACCTTCACGATCACACGCGTGAAACCTCAATGTTTTGCAAGCCCGGGCGACCGAGTGTGAAGGTGAAGAAAGCCTCCACAAATGATCTGGCCCTACCAGGAACAAAATTGCTGACCTATGAACGGCCACCTTCCCACGTGCAGAGTTGTTGTGCAGTTGAGTATTGAGTGGCGTTTCCACGCAAAAATCAGGGGAACAGGGCCGCAAGCTGGCCAGTTCATTGAGGCCGCAAGATATGCAATTGGCCTTTGGGCTGGCATGGGAGTTCACAAAGACATCACTGCATCTTCCTGTTCAAGCGACTTGAACCCCCCTCGATGCCAACAAGTGACCCTGCGGCAAGCCCTTCACAACACAGCAAAGGCCCAAGCCACTCATCCGGCACAGCTGCAAGGGCTCTTTGGGTCGCAGCCTGGGTTGAAATGTGTGTCTTTGGGACCACATCGTCCCAACAAGACTTGGGCGGCTGGAATGGCACCATATCGAGAAAGCCGGAACATCTATATTGAACTCATTCAGCTCCTTTGCTCAAGGACTACACCTAGGCACAAAGCTGGTAAGCTTCGCCTGCCTGACTGACTGCTCAAATGCAGCCTGCCGCAGAACTCGAGCAATGAGCTGTTGGCTGCTCTCCAGACTCCAGTTCCATACCTGCAACTCTTTGTGGGCGTTTAAGCCCTGCACGACATGACCATGCAAAGCCGCACGGTGCAACCTCGGCGGAAGAACACGGCACTGAATCCAACACCAGAAGTCTTCAGAAGGCTGTCAGACATGCACGTTTTCTGGGACACATGATCGCCAAAGCAAGCTGAGCAATGGCCCTGTTGTTCAGCGGTCATGGTGCACAAGCGTCCCTGTGCCTGAAGGAATGAAGTACAATATTAAGATGATAACTCCTCCTGCCAGGGTTGGAGTTGGAGGTGCTGCCAACTCACGCCAAGCATGAAGAACAAAGGAAACACACGCCCCGGCCCGGCTGAGAAAAGAAACAACAATACCAACACAGAAAACGTAAACACATGCACACGCGCATGCAACTCATCCAGATGCATTTGTAGGGGGGCATGGCTGCTGTGGCCGTGTCATCGGCCACGTTGCACGCCGATGACATCAGAGACGAAGAGACACCTGCTCTGCTGGCCTCTGTGATTTCATAACGAAGCCACCCGAACTGAAGAGGAAGGCTCTAAAGCCCCCAGTCTCCAAGGTTTCACTCAAAGCTCAAAGGAGGAGGTTCACTGGTACCAACCATAGGCGTCCTTTTAGGGGAAATAGATGGATATCCCTGGTTGACTAAACCATCAGGTAAACCAGGACTCGTCCTCGATTTTTCGACCAAAACCACCAAAAAAGGTGTGGAGTACCCACTTTGCCACCCTCAGCAAGCCAGCCAGGATCCCAGCTTGAGTTCCTGGCTCGCGACTGAGCTCTGAGGATGCGAAGTGGCGAAAGCCTCACATGATCTCGCATGGCTACGCCAATCCTCGGGGGAAACCCATTCAGGCACTGAACCTCTCCGTTTAGAGGCTGCCAACTTTCCAAAGTCGCCGGGCACGTGTGAAATTCCTGAAATGCTGTGAAAATATATCTGCTTCGAACCATCTGTTGGCTAGCCCCTGCCCGATTTCTGCTGGACTTGTTTCTGAATCCCCCCATGAGAGAGTCCTGACATGGATCAGCTGTATCGCCAGATCTCCCTTAACTCTGTATGTTTTGCCTGGCATGTTGCTGCAACTTCTCCTGTGATCTGCAAGGATCCCGTTTTGTCTTTGATTTTTTGGTGTACCTTGAAATGTCGTTTATGCCCAACGAAAACAGGGCATATATTTGTTGACTCCGTCCCATGTCTTGTGAAGCAGACAGCAGAGGCCTTCAGCAGCGGCTGATTCCAAGAGGAACCTGAGCCACACCCGACACATGCAAACAGCCACGGGGGAAACGTAGCAAATCAAATCAACTTGCAGTTTTGTGAAAGATGGCGCAAACTCTCCGTTGGGTTGTCTACCTGCGCAAATATGCTTGCTCCGGCTTGCGCCGCGCAGGGTTTGGCCGGAACTTTGCGAACTTGTTTGCGCCCGTGCAGTTGACACAGATGTGGCAGTCGGATAATGCAAGGCACGGCATGTACCAGGCCAACCGGCTAAGCTGAGCTTTGCACTTGGAGGGGCACGGCTGCACACGACTCTCCAAGATCCTGCCAGGAAGCTTTTTGCTGGAAAAACCTGTTGAGTGCACATCATCTTCGTTAAATCTGCGGAGCTATTGGGTTTCGCATTTCAGGGTGTTTCCAGCAAAACTGTCTGTCAACTTCACGCGCTTTGTCCAAGTGTTGCCTCACATATCACCAAAATGGAGGCACAAGATACAGTCAGCACCAGCTTTCAGAATACGTCCTCACTCGCCACTGGGAATCCCGAGGTTTGACGTCCCCCTAGCAGCATGTCTCCTCTTCCTGGAGCTCCCAGTTGGCCGCCCTGCGAAGTCCATGAAAAGCAATGCTTGGCCGGGGAGCTATCTTGATACCTCAGAGGAGAGCTTTTGGCCTTCGGATATCTTTGAGAAAGCCGTGTTCCTTTGTCTGCCTTGTCAGCCAGTGACCCCTGCCCCAGGTGAAACTGGTGCTTCCCTCCTCTTCCGTTTCAATCCCAAGTGCAATCCAAGGCACCAGTGAGCCAGTGTCTTAATCACATGCACAAATCAACGGCACAAGCTCTCGCAGCCTTTTGTCGATCAGGTCCGGCGGGTTGGTTCCAGCAATTCCGCTGACGCTTCTGGACAGCAACGACACAAGCACTAGGAGCCGGAGACTGCGTCAAGGCCACAGTTACCCCAAAGGTCTGCTGATTCAGATTGTCACGGGCCATCAAGCAAACAGCAGGATGTGCAGGGTTCTTGTTGGCCTTGGCAACGCACAGAAAAATACAGGTGCTTTACTCCTAGATAAGGCTTGGCCGCTTTCGGAATGCAGTCTGGATGAAGTTCGGCAACAGAAAGCAACCCCTAGGTCAACTGATTGAGCCGTCAATCCGTGTCGCCTGTCTGACCTATCAATTTGGATTCCACAAACACATCGACAAAAGGTTGCCCTCTGAAGCTCGCCGCATCCAGGTTCGGACAATGTGGAAGAAATATCTCTCATCATTTCGCCAGATCAGCGGCCACAGTGGCCGCCATCCAGGCTCTCGTGATCTCTCTGGTGTGCCGCGTCCGCTCCCTCTGTGTCCAAGCAACCAGGCGGGGTGCACACTTTGGTGCAACGGCTCAGGCGAGCCAAAGAAGGTGCAGCTCTGCTAGCATCATGATGCTGCCGACTGCAGCCGAGTCTGTCTTGAACATAGTGCGCACGCTGGCGCACGCCAGTGCCTGACCCTCAACCGTTCGACTTGGCTCTTGCCAATCAAGCCCAAAGAGTGCAAGAGTTGTTCAGATACTTGGCAGCAAATGCTGTCATTCAATCGAACGTTCTGCCTCAGGAAATTCTGAGATAGAATCCTGGGCCCGTGAAAAGTGCATGAGCCCGATTATGCACAGGCACAGTTCGCAGAAGTATTGTGCTCCCATCGGTGCTATCTCAGGAATCCCCATTTCTCTCGGGCTTTGAGATACCCAAACTCGAGGGAGTACTTGTTGCCATGCCCCTGAACATGGCAAGAAAGCTTGGTGGAGGGTGGAAATATATAATTATCTAGCGGCGTGTTTGCATGTTTGACTTGATGTGGATCGTCAAATCGCAGGAGCACCCCCCTCTTACCTTCTTGGAGCGACAGCCTTGGGACACAGCCAGTGACGCGGGAAAACCGCATCAGCATGTCCAACTGTTCGCTCACGGCTTCCAGCCGCTAAACCCCTGGGAAGTCGTCACAGGCTGCGTCCCTTCAAATGCAGGTGGAAAAAACAGGCCAGGAAAGCATTGAAGGTCAGGACGTGCAGTTGCTTGCTTGCCTCGGTCCCCCGTTTTCTCACCGAATCTCCAAGCTATGGGACTAGCACTCAGCCCCCCTGTGGCCTGGGGCGAGAGCTTCTCAGGTCTAACGCCTGAGTCCAAAAAACGTCGGGGCTATGGCCATACCGAGATCTGAATTACTGGCCAATTGCAGACCGTCCCCTCAGTCCCCTCCCGGTGGCTTGCCCCTGGGACACCCATCAACACATGACATGCTCATACCCTGATTCAAAGGGATCAACAGCTCATAGTTCAACATCGGAAACCAAACCCGCATCTCCAAGCGCGACACATGAGTGCACCACCATGAGCCCCCCCCATGCTCCACGTTTCAAAGCCACCTGCAGCCAAGTTGCGGCAACGCAAGTGCTGCCTCGCACTCCTGTAGGACCTGGCAACTGATGGCAACGAAAAGGAAAGCTAAGAGCAAAATGAAACGAGAAGGCATTCCTAGAGTGGCCAAATTAACACCAATGCGCGAAGGAATGCACCTGACAATTCAGCCGACCATCCTCATTGGAATGAGGATAACACGCGGGGCTGCTTGAGCAATTAACTTAAAGAAACATTGCTGAGAGAGGGGTGTTCTGCGGGAGGGGTGCGTCACTTCTGCTGCTCCAGTTTCTCCATTGTTGAGCTATTGCCTGCTTGTGCCGAATTGCCAAATTGCAAAATGCTGCCAAGGTGAAAGCAGGCTGGGCAGGTTATGAGAGGGAGAAAAGTAGGAGATACCACAACCATCTTGCAGGGTTTCCACTGGACGGATGTTGGGAGATACAGCCGGCGAGGCATTTCGGATTTTGCCCAGCGGCGAGATTGTGGTCCTTCACTGTTTCCAGCGGCGAGATTCTTGGCTGACAACACCAATCGCGGCGAGATACTCTAGGAGTAGCTCTCCGCCCAGCCCTGCCCTCGAGAACCAGAAATCTCTCCAACTTGGGCCTAGTGCCAACCCCCTCAAAGTGGAGAGCTACTCTGGGAGTAGCTCTCCACTCCTATTTGTGGGGCCTTTCATGGGCTGATTTGGCCCAAGTCTGTTTGGTGAAGATTGTGTTGGTTCCTGAAGCACTCAGTAAGGCCCCACAAATAGGAGTGGAGAGCTACTCCCAGAGTAGCTCTCCACTTTGAGGGGGTTGGCACTAGGCTCAAGTTGGAGAGATTTCTGGTTCTCGAGGGCAGAGCTGGGCGGAGAGCTACTCCTAGAGTATCTCGCCGCGATTGGTGTTGTCAGCCAAGAATCTCGCCGCTGGAAACAGTGAAGGACCACAATCTCGCCGCTGGGCAAAAGAGTTTGCAAATATCTCGCCGCCTGGCTGTCCTAAATCCGAAATGCCTCGCCGGCTGTATCTCCCAACATCCGTCCAGTGGAAACCCTGCAAGATGGTTGTGGTATCTCCTACTTTTCTCCCTCTCATAACCTGCCCAGCCTGCTTTCACCTTGGCAGCATTTTGCAATTTGGCAATTCGGCACAAGCAGGCAATAGCTCAACAATGGAGAAACTGGAACAGCAGAAGTGACGCACCCCTCCCGCAGAACACCCCTCTCTCAGCAATGTTTCTTCTTAGTGCTTTATTCAGGGTGGACGGGAAGGTCTCAAATTGGGAGGAGGGAAATCGACGTCTGCACTCGCATTGTGAACCATCTGTTTGAACCTGCTTGGCTGCTCAGTCTAAATGAGCTCAACAACTGAAGCAAGGTGTATCGGACCAGGCATTTAGCTGCACAGAAGGTCAGAGCTCAGATAGTAGTCCTGGTCCTGATGTCCGCAACGAGGCTTTGCGCGCTACCCTTAACAGAACTTGACCCAAAGAATCAAAGCGCAACAACAAAACAAACATTCACACAAGCACGAGCTACATAGCGTAGTCGCGAAGGCTATAATTTAGCTGGATGGCAGTCCCATGCCAATCAAGTCAATCCGGCCAGAATGCTGGACAAAGTGTGCAACCAAGGCTTCAGCACGAAGACCCAGGATTTCACACTTGCTTCTGCAGTTGACAAACGCTACATGCAGACCAGATACGCTTAGGCAAACTCAGCAGCTGCTGGTGCTAGTGCTGGAGCTGCTGCCCTTGAGATGAGACCAAACATCTTAAAGCCTCTGCACCAGGTTGCAAGATGCATAATTCCGTCACCAGCTCTGCATCAGTTTGGGCGATCCACTGCCCTTCCTGCCATTCCTTCCAATAAACTCCACGAGCATATCAGCCGGCCTGGTCAAGACTACAGGCCTGCGTCAACGGGCTGTGCCGAGAGATCGCCTCTGCCAGCCGGGTCAGTCCTGTGCGCGGAGGATGGCAATCAGCCTGCAGCCTGCTCATTGGCTTAGTTTGGCCCTTTGGTGCCCTTGTCTCAACAGCATAGCCTCGTTCCACAGGCGCTGCGGTAGGTGGCCTCTCAACCAGCCAAGAGGCTTCTCCAAAGCATGTGCGACTCAGCTACCTCAGTCCCAAATCAATGTTGTAGCGCTGAAACTCAAACTTGGGCCGACCGGGCCAAGTTTGGCGGGTTGGATATTTGGACCTGACCTGCATTGGTCAGAAGCGAGTGTTGAACTGGACTGTTGTTGTTTACCAGGCACCCAAGACCTAGGCTGGACAGCGCCAGCTGTAGACATGGACTGAGATGACACACCCTGCACAAAAGGTGCGCACCTGCCGGTGGACAATCAACAGGTGAGATTAATACCGAAATATACTAAGCCTACTACAATTTGCTCCAACCGCATGTGGCGTGGACAAGGGAAGCAACCAAAGCTGGTGTAGGATTGCATCCTGCAAGGTACAGGAGTCGTTGCAATCTTGCGAGCCCAGTTGCAGGCTCAATGCATTTGGCACCTTGGCGAGCGGGTGCACAAAGAAGGAATGTCTTGCCCCGTGCAAGGTGTACCGCCAATAGCTTGTGGCAACCAAAGCGCTCGATGTCCAACCACCAAAAAAGGGCAACTCAACCATTGACTCCGCAATTGGACCTGAATTAGCAACTTCCAAAACGTAAATTGCACAACATAGTCCGTGAAGGTGGGCTAAGAACAAGCAAGGCGATCTCAGAACAGTATTTGTAGCCAGGCTTCTTTTCAGCTTCAGAAGGCCTATTTCACGGGTGTTTCGAAACCAGCGGCGTGATCGAAGCCGAGACGCAGCAGCGCTGAGAGCGTTGGGAGGTCCCCGCGATGGAACTTCGAGAGCAGTTGCCGCAAACGCATCCTGGCCAAGACTTCAAAATCTGTGGAAACGAATGGCTCAAGTGACCAAAAGGGAGGCGATTGAAACACTTCAGTGGCAACAAGCGTCAATTAACCAAACGTGTGCTGCTTCAGTTCTGAGCATGCATTGAGACTTGGAACGACACATTCAGACGACATCGGCGCAAAGCAAAGGTATTTTGCAACAAAAGCTTTTCACAGCTTGATTGCTGCAAGACCCAGAAAGGAACTGTCACGCCTAAGTAAGGGCTTTGGTGAGCTCTTTGGACGAGCTTGAGCTGCATATCAACTCAATACAGGAAAAACCTACCAGCAAAGCCGGCGAACTCGGTTGGCGGACGTCTGAAAAAACGGCAACTGTAGCTCCATTTCTCTGTCTCCCTCTCGCTCCCTCTCTTGCTACCAGTTTCTCTTTATCTTCCTCTTTCTCTAATTAGCTTTGCCTTTCCTTTTCTCCTGATATTTTCCTATCTATCTATATGTACCTATGGATCTTTCTATCTAGCAGTCGATCTAGCTAGCTATCGGTCTATTTATATTTCTATCTATTTCTCTAGCCATCTATCTATCGATCTACCTATCCATCTATCAAACTATCATTCTATCTGTCTAGCTATTTCTCTATCCCGCTATATGTGTATCTCTTGTGTCTCCATCTCGCAATCTGTCTATCTCTCTATCTCCCAATCTCGCGATCTCTCTGTCTATCACTCTATCTATCCATCTGCCTATCCTCTGTATCTATCTGTCTATCTATCCATCTATCTAATCTTGCTAATCTATATTGTTACCCATCTATCTATCCTTCCTGTTTGTCTACCGATCCACCTAGCTATCTGTAAGTTCTATCTAACTATCGATCGATCTGTTTGTCTGCCTATCTTTCTACCTATCTATTTGCGTACCCATATGTCTAGCAATCTATCCGTCCAGCCATCAATCCATCCACCTGGATATTTGCACGCCTGTCTACCTACATCTGCATTTCTCTAGCCATCTACCCGTGGCTCAATACAACTAGATGTCTTTCTGTATCTCGATCTAGCTGGCTACCTATACCTAACTGTCTATCTATCTCTCTTTCCTCTATCTATTTATCTGTCCGTTTATCTATCCTTTGCACCTATCTGTCCATCTATCTGTCATCTATTTATCCAGCTAACTATCTAACCTTGCAAATCTATGTTGCTATCCATCTATCTATCATTTCTGTCTGTGTGCCCAGTTTTATCTATCTATCGATCGATCTGCTTGTCTGCCTATCTATCTATCTATCTATCTAGCCATCCAATTGTGTAAACACCTGGCTAGCAATCCATCCGTCCATTCATCAATCCATCCATCTAGCTATTTGCCAATCTGTCTACCTACCTACATCTGCATCTATCTAGCCATCTATCCATGCACACATCCAACTAGATGCCTTCCTATTTGTCTATCTAGCTGGCTAGCTACCTAGTTGTCTGTCTACTTATCTGCCTATCTCTCTGCTTATCCATCTATACGTCTATTTATCTATGTATCTATCTGTCTGTCTGCCTGGCTGTCTATCTACGTTTATCTATTGATCTGTCTATCATCCGGCTGATGATCCGTTCATCAATCCACCCACCCATCTAGCTACTGAAATTTACCCACCTACGCACCCACCTACCTCTGCATCCATCTATCCATCTATTTATGTGCATATATCATATATCAGTCTTTCTGTTTGGCTATCTAGCTAACTACCTACGTGCTTGTCGATTTATCGATCTATTTTGTCAAAGGAAGTTTAGTTAGGAAACTCTGCAATGCTAAAAGTTGAATGCGCCGAAAGAAAGACACAAAGAAAGTGAGACTTTAAGTCAGAAGCAGAGGGAAAGAGATAGAGTCAGATAGAGAAGAGGGGGTTTTGCGGCAGGAGCAGCATATTGCGGGCTGGCGAGGTCGCGAAGGCTACCTCTGTTTAGCGCGCGGTTTTGCCACGTTCTCGCCACTGGTTCGGCAGGGTTCCAATGGCACGGCCGCGCACTTTCACTAGGATTGAATTGCGTGGCAGGCGCAGTGCTTTCTCAAGGCCAAATGCAGATTTCGTGCCATGCGCAGCACTGTCGCAAGGTCAGGTGCAGATCTCCTGGCAGGCGAAGCGCGTTCGCAAGTTTTAGTAAAGATTTTGTGGGCACTTTCGCGAAGTCACGTGCAGATTTCGTGAGAAGATGGACAGACAGAGAGAGAGAGAGAGAAAAACGACATGTAAATAGAAAGAAAAAAGAAAGAGAAACAGAAAGCAAGAAAAGAAAGAAAGAAAGAAAGAAGGAAGAAAGGAAACAAATAAAGGCAGGAAGGTAGGAAGGACGAAAGAAAGAAAGGCAGGACGGGGAAAAAAAGAGGAAAAAAACACTTCTCCTCCTATAGGCACATTACCCCTTCAGAAACTTCCATCCAGCCTCGCTGGAGGATCATACCAGGTATCTACATATATATATATATATATTTGTATCTGTCTGTCTGTCTGTCTGTCTGTCTGTGTCTGTCTGTCTGTCTCTGTCTGATCTGGACTTCAGCCTTCGTTCCGCGACATCCAGGGAGGAAATGTTCGAAGAACTGCCATTGCACTGCCAACGGAACGGCACGTTGGTTAACAAAACTGGCTGAAAGAGAGCGGGCATCTCCGTTGCAAAGCGGCAACCACCCCACATCCCGGCAAACAAAGAAACAACTTTTGAAACACTGCCAATGTAGAGTCTTGATGACTTTGCCCCAGGGACATGTCTACACAGCAACAGCTCCTTTTCAAGAATTTGCCCCAACTGCATGTCACCCATGGAAAAAAGGCTCCAGATCCCTTCCCAGCCCAAGCCACATGTCTGCTGCTTGGCGGTACCAAGCATGTTATGAGCTGCAGTCAAGCTTCTGCCGCAGAATCTACAGTGATGCCTTGGCCTCAAGTGTCCTCAGCGGACGCAAAACAACACAGAGCATGGCATATTGCAGGATGCACGGAGTTCTCTCGGGTAGCAAGCGTTTGTTGGCTTGGCAGTTGCGAAGGGCTACCAATGTGTCCAGCTAGAGAATGGGCATTGTGCAGCAAACCGCCTTTGGCAAACCGAGCCAGCCTACACCCCCCACGCCAACTAAGTAACAACTTCAAACCGTGCCAACTGGCCAACCTCATCCACATTCTGCCAATAATGACCGGGATACCGTGAGTGAGGAGCTCTAGAAGGGAGGCTACTGCCCCTGCACTGCTCAAAAATGCCTTCCATTTGGATGTCTTCACGTCCTGAACTGTTTGAACAAAAAAATCGCCCACTGGAAGGCTCGAGTCAACTATAAAATATGGAGCACCAGCTTTGCTTGTCGCTGCAAAAAGGCAGGATGCCCACCCCGGCCCTTATCGTCGTTGCAGACAAGCTGCTCTTGCCCAACGTGGTGCCACAAAGGTTGCACTCGCTACTGTTCGGCTGCCACCCGCCTCACATTCACCAAAATCAAGCCTCTGCTCTTCTTAAGGGGCTGACTGCAAAGCCATCAGCGAAGCAGGTATGAGCCAAAGGCGCAAAGCACGTTACAGGCTCAATTTCGGACAGCCTGAGAACGCAGCCCCCTCCCGGTCCCCCGATCTGCCAAGCTACTGCTGCCGATTTCACAGGTTGTTGGCTGCGGCTTGCACTTTGGCTTCGGCTTCGGCGTTTCTTCCACCCTGGGCCGGCATTGCAGGAGACGGGGTTGCGAGCGGCTCAAAACACACCAGGGGGCGTAGGTCGACAAGAGTCATCATGGGCCTAGGTGTGCTTACATCTGCAGCGTCCGCCACCAGCAGTGGTCTGAGTTTCATGAGGCAACTCCTCCACTAGGAAGTTGGCTGCAAGCCTTTGATCATACCATCGTAGCAAACCAAGACACAGACCGCAGCCAACTCTGTTCTTGCAAGCCGAGGCTGCCCGTGAACATGATATGATGATCCAAGCGTATGCCAGCAACTTGTAAAACAAGCTCATTTACAACCTGCAAGGCCAATGACGCAACAATTGCTGAATGCGCACTTAGGTGTTCAAATTCGCGGCCAACATGGCAAAAATCAAACTGAAGAGCCTGCTGGAGGTCGCAAATCGATGCCCACCCCAAGCGCTAAATCGGCTCGGCTTGCCCCAGCCTTGACACGAGCGAGGTGCAATCCAGGACCGCTTCCTCCAAAGAGATGGGCTGTAGCCGGTGATCCTGGACCAAGGGACACGCACACACACACACACACAAATACCCAAACACAATACACACACACACACAAACCAACCAACCAACCAACCAACCAACCAACCAACCAACCAACCAACCAACCAACCAACCAACCAACCAACCAACCAACCAACCAACCAACCAACCAACCAACCAACCAACCAACACACACACACCCCACACGCACACCCGCACACCCGCACACCCGCACACCCGCACACCCGCACACCCACGCACACACACCCACACACCCACACACCCACACACCCACACACGCACACACACCCACGCACACGCACACGCACACGCACACGCACACGCACACGCACACGCACACGCACACGCACACGCACACACCACACACCCACACCCACACCCACACGCACACGCACACGCACACGACACACACACACAGACACACACACACACAGACACACACACACACACACAGACACACACACACACACACACAGACACACACACAGACACACAGACACACACACACACACAGACACACAGACACACAGACACACAGACACACAGACACACACACACACACACACTTGAACTCCAGATGGAGAGTGCTAATCTTTCGAGTACAACTGATGAGTTTCGAGTACAACTGATGAGTCTCGAGTATGGTGAGTTTCGACTCGCACCTCACTCAGCTTCACTCTAGTTACTTGAACAGGGGCACACAAAGCAACGGCGGTTCAGGGAGGGGACCAAAAGGACCTTCAGAAACATCACAAAAGCAGGTACACGCGGATGATCAGTCCGCGTTTCCCCCATGGTGGTTAGCTTCGTTGGCACAGGTCACCACCATGGGCCTGTGCCCCCTGCTGCGAAACCGAAAGGGTGGTGACAGGGCATTCTGTCACTCCGCACACACACGCCCCTCTACGAGGGGCGAAGTTTCTCTTTTCTCCTGCTGGAAGATCAAATGCTCACACTCAATTGTCTATCGTTGACCAAAAAATCCTCCACGGCGAGGGGAGCGAGACACCGCCCTGAACCGCTCAGAAGACGGGAACGAAAGATCACCACGTTGAGCATTGCGAGTGTCGCCATAGAGGACTGAAGCGATTTGCGAAGCAGCCGGGCGATCACCTTGAGAAAACGGAGTGGCATAGGTGAATGTCTCCTCAACTGGAACGGCATCGGAGTTTCGAACTCGACCAAGCGTCTGATCATGTGGATCGCGAGTCGTGAATGACTCAATCCGAGACAAGATGCGCTGGTACCCTTGGTGTTGCCAGTCACGGATGTCCCATGCTTGGACTGGCGCGTCGGGCTCAGTCACCCGTCTCCATTCACGAAACGAATTTTCAGGGACATCTGGCAAGGCGTCCCCGCGGTGCCATCGTTGAGGATGTCCTGGAGTGTATATCCGCACCCACTCCTGATCATGCCAGACTGAATATTCAAGCCACTGAATATTCAAGCCATGGGTGCTGCTTCGAATCATCGATGTCCATGTCGAGGCAAGAGGCAAGAATTGTCGCGGGCTCCGATCCGGCTAGTAGATAAACAAGCACAATGCACAACCATGTTCAACCAGCAACCAACAACCAAGCAAAATCATGCAAGTGCAAAGATCACCCTTATTTCGTACGCTGCGCTGCTCATGCGAGTCTAGTCTTCAGTGAGCTCGAAGACGGGACTCATCTTGTCTCGGCCACTGTCGGAAGGATTAACGGGCCGGTAGGGGTCGGAGACCCCAATCGTCTCCAATGATGTGCTTCCACGCGATGCACGTACTGGTTGATGAGGATGGGAAGCTAGACGTGCGCGAGCTGTCAGTTGTTGCGAAATCCCTTCCTGGAGACGAGTCAGTTCTTCAGTAGAGAAATCAGCTGCATCCGAGGACCTGAGAATCGCGTCTAACAGCTCTGGCGACATACTCAATGCCGCAGACTGCGTGGCCACGCTATGATGATCGGGGGGATACCCTGAGTCAAATTCATGTCCAGCGTGAGGGGCAGCGATTCGTCGGTAGCCCTCGGTGGCCCAGTCTCGTTTGTACCACATAGTGACTTGGGCCTGCTCTCCGACTGAGGCCTGGTTGGGTGCATAGAACTCCCTCCACTCTCTAAAAGTGTGCGGAGGAGGTGGATCATCATGTTCTTCTTGCGGCGTCCACGGTCCCGGATGAAAGATCTTGACCCACTGGGCATCTGGTTGTTGAGGGTCCGGGCACCATTCCAGCCACGCCATGACAACACAACCACGGAAAGACAAGTTGATAGGTGTACGGCTGCAGACAACAACAAGTGCAAGCAAGTCAACAATCATAATGCAAAAGACCACTTTTGTAACACTGTGCGGCGCCAGCATCATAGTCTGACTCTCCAGGGAGGCGAGGGCGGGCATCAGCTCTCAAGCGAATTAGATGATGCCGAGGAGGAAGTCATTCCAGCATACATGAGGTCCGGTGCGCCCGAAGCAAAAACTGGCCTCGCTATGCTAGGATGTGGACGACCCAGGCGTTGATACCCCCTGGTGACCCAGTCCCTGTAATACCAAGTGTAGAAGGTGGCGTAAGATACCGGTTGCAGAACCGTGCCTGTGGTTGTGCCGCCCGTGCTTTCCCGGGGCCAGTACACTTCGAAGTGGTGGACCTTGCGCCATTCCCGATAGGTGGTCGAGTCATCCGGGGCCGGTCCCAGGGTGTCTGGGGCTACTGGATGCCACTGACCCGGAACATAGATTCGAATCCATTCCACACTCGTTCCTGCTCGACTATGAACGATGTCATAGTCAAAATAACGAGGTAGGACCCATCGTGCTGCACCCTGCACTGTACTATTGAACATTTCAACCCAACAAGCTGCTCAAAGTTAGCACGGAAAGCGGCGGACACACTGAAACGACATGCACAGCACCAAGCAAGACAACCCAATGTGAGCACACATACAAAGCAAGCACAACCGCATCTTTGTCCAACATGCTGCTCAAGAATCAATCCGACTCATTCCAAGGATCATGGAATGGCGGCGGTGACGGTTCCCGCCACGCCCCATCCGGTACCGACGAGCCCACCGAGGACTCGACGTCCGCATTGACGAGCATCGCGAATCCCATGGATTGTACAGGAGGTCCAAGGCGTTGATAACCTCGTGTTTGCCAGTCCCGGTACTCCCACACGTGGTAGGACACATAGGCACTGGGCGTGGCTATAGGATCCATTGTAGTTCCACCGGTGCTGTCTTCAGACCAGTACACTTGGAAGTGATATGATCTGCGCCACTCCCGATACGTGGAAGCGTACAGTGGGTCAGGAACAGGCGCCTCATCGGGAACGGGCCTCCAAATGCCCGGAGAGTAAATTCGAATCCATTCCACTCCTCTATCGATCTGGTACTCGAAATACTGGGGGTTCATAGCAGCAATACGTGCTTGCACGACTGTTGAACCAATCGAAAGTCTGCGGCAAGGACACACATGCATTGCCAGCCGCACATACACACTGAAGAGTGAGGCAACTTTTCAAGCACAAGATGAAACGCAGCAACGAGGTCGGAAATGTCAGACTCCTAGCTTTCACTGTCGTTGATGTCGCGCACACCTGCAATGATAGTGACCTGGCCGTCTACGAGCACAAGGGGAAAGACATTTCCGTCCATGGCGCAGGATGGCGTGACAGTAATGCTTGCACGCCGCCGAGGGGGATTGCGATGGACGGCCTGCACGTTTGGAATAAAACACTGTAAAGGGCCGTCGAGATCGCCGCGGCGCCGAAGCTGATGCTGTCCGAGATCGTTTGGACGAGGGCCCTGGACTGCGTGGTTCTTCATCACGGGAGGGGTCACTGCTGTGGATCGAGCGGCGTGTGCGCTGCGATTTCGAAGAGGTAGGGCAGGATTGTCCACGAGGGGCTGAGATCGTGGGGCTGCGTACCGAGGGCATAAACTGTGGGTGAAGAATCACCGGTGGTGGTGGTGGTGGTGGAGGAGGAGGTGGAAGAAGCAATGGCAAACTTGGCGGGGGCGGAGGTGACGTAGTTAACCGTATGGGTCTGTCGAGTAGAGCCCCGGGTCCATGAAATTGTAACCACGTCGGCTGCGCTCCATGGGTCCAGGTAATGTACGTCTGTACAACTTGTTCCGACATGATTTGAGCAACTCAGGCAAGACATCACTGCATGTCAACGACATTGCACAACACGACAAGCAAGATTGAGTCACATGCGAGCAAGCAAATATCATGTGATCAACAACGCGAATCGGACACACCGCCGCTGCGTATCATTTGGTCCATCAATGGTCGTTGCTGCATTTGTCGGGCATGTTGCTAGCCGCGAGCTTCAAGTTGTTGATAGACCTTCCATGCCTGCTTGACTTCCTCAATCGGCTTCTGAAGAAACCGCGCAATGGTCTTATAGGTGGGCCTGGAATCTTTATCCTTCTTCCGTCTCACCATTTCATCCAGCTCACCCTGTGTCCATGCCGTGAAAGGTTCACGGTACGCATTGCGAAGTGCAATGGTAAATTCTTGTAGAAGTTCACGAGGACCATGGACCACCGTCGGCGACGGCCGGAACGACGAGGCACCTGGATGCGGACGTATGGAACCATCAGAATCCGAATCAGGTGTCGTAGGCGTCATTTGTCCTGGCTCTCGTCCACCGTGTAACGCGATAGGAGCAAGGGGACGAGGAGGTGGTAGTCGATCCAACATCGATTCGGGCCGAGCTCCCGGATTGTGGTCACTAGCATCACGATGTGCCGCTCGAGGCGGGGACAAAGCCGGTATGTACCAGGTAGATGACGTGTCCAGCGGTCGACCCCTGAATGCGTGCGGGTGATCGAGATCTGTCAGATGAGGGGTGCTCCGTGATGATGCGGGGCCGCAACCCATGTCTGGAGTTTCTTGGTGCTCTTGGGGTGACCACCGTGTCAGTCGGACGACCACGCTCCGTCATCAAGGCAAAGTTCAGGGTGTCCAAAGCTGTCGCCACTTGGGATGCAAGGACATTGAGCACA